CAGACACACACTGCACCCACAGACACACACTGCACCCAGACACACACTGCACCCAGACACACACTGCACCCCCAGACACACACAGCACCCCCAGACTCACACAGCGCACCCAGACTCACACAGCGCACCCAGACACACACAGCGCACCCAGACACACACACCACACCCAGACTCACACAGCGCACCCAGCCACACACAGCGCACCCAGACACACACAGCACCCCCCAGACACACACAGCTCCCAGACACACACAGCACACTCCCACACATATACAGCACACACATATATATATATAATAACCCTCAGTGAGTTAACAGACAAAGAAAATTAGAAACCTAGAATGTGACAGCAGATAAAAACACCCTCACACACAGCACCCCTCTTACATACACACACTGCGCCCCTCACACATACAATAAGTCCAAATATATATATATATACATACACACACACACACACACACTACAGCACCCCTCACACTGCACCACTACACACATTACGCTCCAGATACACACTAGATCCCTTACTCTATATGCACTCTTTATCCTCTATACACACACACACACACTGGGTCCTTTACACAGTAGATCTCCTACACACACACACACACTACATTCCTTGTCAGCAAACACATACAACATTCTCTAAACACACCCTCTCTGCAACCCCTACACACACTACGTCACCTATACACACACACTTCAGCCGGTATGCACACACTCGCTGCATCCCCTATAAAACTATGCCCCCTATACACACACTCTCTACAGCCCCTAGCCACACATATTACACCACAAACACAAATAAAAATTGACCTATTTACACAATACCACACCACACTCTACACACACGCAATCCCACAAGCAGGCTCCAAACATATGCACCATGCACTTTCCATTTGTCCTCTGGTATCCCACTTGTGCAGACACCAGAGACAATTTAAAAGCAAACACAGCGCAAGCATGTTATTACATTTGCTTGCGCTGCGCAGAACAAATACAGGGCCTTTTTCTAATGCCAGAGCTCTTCAGCGGGGCTCTGCGCATTGAACCAACATGCTCACTTTGAGCATTAGTGATGACAAAACACACACTCTCTGGCCCCGCCCCCTTCTTAGGGGGCCGCTCTGATTGAAAAATGCCCGGGCCTAATTTTTTTCCCAGTCCGGCCCTGTATCTATCTATCCTTTATCTATCGATCTATGTATCCTATATCTATCTATCCTTTAGCTATCTATCTATCTATCTATCTATCTATCCATTGTCTATCTATCCTTTATCCATCTATCTATCTATCTATCTATCTATCGGTCTGTTTGTTTATCTCTGGCTATCTATGTATCCTCTATCTATCTATCTGTCTGTCTGTCTGTCTTTCTATCTATCTATCTATCTATCTGTCTATGTATCCATTATCTATCTATCTGCCTATCTATCTATCCATCCATTATCTATCTATGTATCCTTTATCTATATATGTATCCTTTATCTATCGATCTATCTATCTATCCATTATCTAATTTATCTACCCATCTATCTATTATCTAATTTATCTATCATCTATCTATCAATCAATCTATCTATCCAGAGAAATCTATCTATCCTTTATCTATCTATCTATCTATCTATCTATCTATCCTTTATCTATCTATATATCCTTTATCTATCTATCTATCTATCTATCCTTTATCCATCTATCTATATATCTCTCGGTCTGTTTGTTTATCTCTGGCTATCTATGTATCCTCTATCTATCTGTCTGTCTTTCTATCTATCTGTCTATCTGTCTATGTATCCATTATCTATCTATCTGCCTATATATCCATTATCTATATATCTGCCTGCCTATCTATCTATCTATCTATCTATCTATCTATCTATCTATCTATCTATCTATCTATCCATTATCTATCTATCTATGTATCCTTTATCTATCTATCTATGTATCCTTTATCTATCTATCTATCTATCCATTATCTAATTTATCTATCCATCTATCTATTATCTGATTTATCTGTCCATCCATCTATCTACCCATTATCTAATTTATCTATCCATCTATCAATCTATCTATCTATCCTTTGTCTATCTATCTATCCTTTATCTATCTATCCTTTATCTATCTATCTATCTATCTAACCTTTATCTATATATCTATCCATTTATCTATCTATCCATTGTGTATCTATCTATCTATCTATCTATCGGTCTGCTTGCTTGTCTATCTGTGTGTCTGTCTGTCTATCTCCGTCTGTCTGTCTGTCTATCTATCTATCTATGTATCATCTATCTATCTATCGGTCTGCTTGTCTTACTGTGTCTGTCTGTCTATCTCTGTCAGTCTGTCTATCTATCCATTATCTATCTATCTGTCTATCTCTGTCTGTCTATCTATCGGTCTGCTTGTCTATCTATCTATCTGTCTGTCTGTCCTTTATCTATCAAGCTATACTTTATATATTTGTCTGTCTGTCTGTCTATCTCTCTTCCAATCCAATGGTGAATCTCCCAAGACGCAGTTATAATAATATAATATAATAATATAATATAATATAATAATATAATACGTACATGCAAAAAAAAGAATATTACCTACTAATGAATAAGTTATTTACCTGTTAATCCTACTCTGGATTTTCTCCCATCCTGAATTTTCTCTTAGGAATAGCAATTACCAAACCAGATTCTGGCCTGCAGGGGGTGCTGTTTTACCACTGTCTCCCCATTAACCTCCCTTACGGCCAGATCAGACCGAAGTGATCAACGGTGGATTTCTAGTGGTTTAGGTTAATACATACAGGATATATCAGTTTGTTTCGTTTTTAGATGATACGTTAAAAAATTACATTGAAAGTGTAGAAAGCTCTTTAAATTGAAAAAAAGTAAATTAAAATGTATGCTTTCAGTATGGAATCTGTGAATAAAATATTTAATAAGTTTATTGAATCTATACATAATGTTTTATTAGATAACCTTAGCGTATTATTATTACTATTTATGGTATACCTTTCACTTGTTTCTCTACAGTTTTTGGTTTATATCTGGAATGGGAGGGAATGCGCTGCCTAATTTTGTACAACCATCACAACTTTTACACCTTTTCTAATCGGGAAACGTGGGCCACTTTGTGTTAATAATAAAAATAATAAATAATAATGTGGCTAAGCATTTCAGCTTCCACATAGAACGAGATATGATACGTAGAAAAATAAATTGTGACATGCTAAAAGAACTAAACTGGCTGTCGCTGGAATCCAGACGCACCCTTCATCTTTCCAGCCTCGTGTTTAAGAGCTTTTCTGGGAAGCTCCCGCCCTCCCTGAGCAAAATGCTCTCCTGGACTGCTCCCACCACCTATAACCTCCGATCCAGTACCAGCACTTTATTTAGTCTACCTCAATACAAAAAGTAAGCGGCCCGATCCTCCTTCTCCTACAGAGCGCCGCAATTATGGACCGACCTCCTGCACACTTTCACATCTTCCCCAAGCCTAGAGTCCTTTAACAGATTCCTCTCCAAATACCTCAAAACAGAATGCTTATGTCATGGTTGATTATATATTTCCTACCTGTTCTATGTTAAATTTTGTATATATTGTGTATTAATATTGTTTTTGTATTTTATTGTACCCTATTGTAACAATGCAATGTTTTGTGGACCCAGGACATACTTGAAAACGAGAGAAATCTCAATGTATCCTTCCTGGTAAAATATTTTATAAATAAATTAGAGAGAAATAAGATGCACATTTTAGAAAATGATTTCAAGATTTTACATAACTGGTCAAGTGGTCCAATATGGCCATCGGGCCATGACGCACAGACTCCATTTTGCAGAAGGCAAAGAATGCCATAGATTTTATTTTTTTTTATCACCGCAGCAAATTTAAAGGTCATGCACTTCCATATTTTGGTGGTTTGAAAAATAGATATCAGGTTTTTTGAAAGTTTAGATTTTCCCCACCACGAACATTGGAGTCTGTAAGCTCGTTTGAGCAGGGTCCTCTTCAACCTATCGTTCCTGTAAGTTTTTTTGTAGTTGTCCTATTTATAGTTTAATCCCTCCTCTCATAATATTGTAAAGCGCTACGGAATCTGTTGGCGCTATATAAATGGTGATAATAATAATCTACTCAATTTTAGTTCAATAATTAATAGGAAGAATATACTGAACGATTTTTTGCATAAAACCAGTATAGGCATAGATTTAATTCTTATAGGTACGTTTTTCATGTGATTGCAATCTATTAGGGGGAAAAAAACTGAAAATCTTTTGAAAAAGTCTATGGGGATTTTTTTATACACGTCATTTGAGCAGTTTACAATCATTTGCAAAGATTATCCAAAAATCGAGGCCTACGTGACAAATCGACTTGCCCTGCACAGATCTGAATGTTGGCCACAACATGGGATTCACATCTATCTATTTGATTTGTTTAAATCTGTTAGAATCATTTCTGAGAATCCCTTCCCAATCTAATTGTGTATTTCATTGTTACAATTAATTGTTATATTTTAATATATTTTTGTTATTATCGCACTGTTTGATTACTATGTATTTGAAATAATAATTTCTTATTTTGGTTTAAATTAATTAAATGAAGGCCTATGGCCTCAATTGAATATATCTGGATTAATTTCAAATAATTCCATTTAATATAACTTTTAAAATGTTTTAATATTTGGAATAATATTTTAATGTTTTGAATTTTTTTTATATATTGGTATATTTATTGATACAATATAATTTTTTTTTATTATAGTTATACAGTTTGAAAAGCAAATCACTCGAAAAAGTTATCTAAATATATTAAATCAAGGCCTTTGATAAATCATTTAACAAGGTTTTTTCGAACGGATTGTGATCCATTTCTGAAGTTGATCCAAACAAATGAAATCGAGGCCTAGATCAGGTTTCTTTCATTCCTGTGATTAAAACAAGTTCTGGATGTTTTGTTGAAAGCTTTGTAGTTCCCTCTACTCTGAGTTTCTAGTTTGGAAAGATGGGAGTCTCTCCGTATAACCCACCCCCCATAGTCTGTAGAATAATCTCCTAATAGTCTCTCTCCCCTCCTTCCTCAGATTCCTCATTTTCATGTGAAGAGCTCCTGGACACTTTGTATAGAGAGGAAACACTTTGTTATTTGGAATAACAGTCCCAGCCCCCTGTGAATAGACCCTGGCTGTAAAGGGCACAGCTGGAGGTGTAATAAACAAGGCCAGAGAAGGTGGGGGTGGTCACAGAGACCCTCCCTGACTGCCCTACATCCCCTTTCAGTGTGACAAAAGGGGACCCCCTGCCAGTCTCTGGCTGACAATGCCTGTGCCTGCTGGGGGTTGATGTCTCTGGCTGAGGACAGATGTTTTCACATAAACTGGCACAAGCACCACCGCAGGAAGGATTCTAAGCACGGCCTATGGCAGCGCCCATCCCCCTCATCACAAAACTCTAATCCCCCTCCCCCTTAGGCCAACGTGCCAGCCCCTTCTTCCTCTTAGCCCAAACAGGCCGGAACAGGATTACCACTTAGACCAGAGATGAACAAATCAGAGATTGGTAAACTGGATAATCAAACGCTAGGTAACGCCTGGAACAACCTCCAGTAATATAGAAAGGGTAGTAGATACCTGGAATAGCCTTCCAGTGGGAGCAGTAACAGTGATATAGAAAGGGTAGTAGATACCTGGAATAGCCTTCCAGTGGGAGCAGTAACAGTGATATAGAAAGGGTAGTAGATACCTGGAACAGCCTTCCAGTGGGAGCAGTAACAGTGATATAGAAAGGGTAGTAGATACCTGGAATAGCCTTCCAGTGGGAGCAGTAACAGTGATATAGAAAGGGTAGTAGATACCTGGAATAGCCTTCCAGTGGGAGCAGTAACAGTGATATAGAAAGGGTAGTAGATACCTGGAATAGCCTCCAGTGGGAGCAGTAACAGTGATATAGAAAAGGTAGTAGATACCTGGAATAGCCTTCCAGTGGGAGCAGTAACAGTGATATAGAAAGGGTAGTAGATACCTGGAATAGCCTTCCAGTGGGAGCAGTACAGTGATATAGAAAGGGTAGTAGATACCTGGAACAGCCTTCCAGTGGGAGCAGTAACAGCGATATAGAAAGGGCAGTAGATACCTGGAACAGCCTTCCAGTGGGAGCAGTAACAGTGATATAGAAAGGGTAGTAGATACCTGGAATAGCCTTCCAGTGGGAGCAGTAACAGTGATATAGAAAGGGTAGTAGATACCTGGAATAGCCTTCCAGTGGGAGCAGTAACGGTGATATAGAAAGGGTAGTAGATGCCTGGAATAGCCTTCCAGTGGGAGCAGTAACGGTGATATAGAAAGGGTAGTAGATGCCTGGAATAGCCTTCCAGTGGGAGCAGTAACAGTGATATAGAAAGGGTAGTAGATACCTGGAATAGCCTTCCAGTGGGAGCAGTAACAGTGATATAGAAAGGGTAGTAGATACCTGGAATAGCCTTCCAGTGGGAGCAGTAACTGTGATATAGAAAGGGTAGTAGATACCTGGAATAGCCTTCCAGTGGGAGCAGTAACAGTGATATAAAAAGGGTAGTAGATACCTGGAATAGCCTTCCAGTTGAAGCAGTAAGTGATGTAGAAAGGGTAGTAGATACCTGGAATAGCCTTCCAGTGGTAGTTACATAGGTCTTATATTTTCACAATGCACAACTATAGAGCCAAAAGGGCTTTAAGGGGCCCTGGACCAAATACATTAACCTACTGCATCATATCATGGATAAAAGAAAGGGGGAAGTCTCCTGGGTAATAGGGCTCCTGGGAGCCATACTCCAGTTTTCTCGCTCTTCTCATCCTCCTTGGCATTAAAGGGGTTCTGGGGAGCCCCTAACAGGATTATCAAAGTATGTTATTTCTCTACCTGCAGGATTATGGCTGGGAGAACAATCTGTCGCCTCCTAGAGGTTAATCGGCTCCCTGCAGTGCAGCTCACTTTGATGTCTGATAATTAGTAAAGCTCTGTGTCGGCATTCAGCCTTACTAGCCTGGAATCCTGGATCCCAATATCCCTGACTGTCTCATTTTACATGTCTCCAGACTGGTACTGGCCAGTCTCTGACTGCACATTGGCTATCAGTGTAATATACCTGTCTGTCTCTTACTTATATACAATATTACTAATACAAACTTCCAGTAATGCCTTGTGTGCCCCTTGGAATGACTGACTGACACCATGTTAAGGTTCGCAGGTTGTGGAGGCTTTGTGCAATCCCATCGGTCCAGCTCCCCCCACACCTCCTATAACCCACACTACCTGAGCAGCACAGTCACTGCAGCTCCCCAAATCTCCTATATCACACACTACCTGAGCAACACACTCACTGCAGCTCCTCACACCTCCTATAACCCACACTACCTGAGCAGCACTCACTGCAGCTCCTCACACCTCCTATAACCCACACTACCTGAGCAGCACAGTCACTGCAGCTCCCCAAACCTCCTATATCACACACTACCTGAGCAACACACTTACTGCAGCTCCTCACACCTCCTATAACCCACACTACCTGAGCAGCACTCACTGCAGCTCCTCACACCTCCTATAACCCACACTACCTGAGCAGCACTCACTGCAGCTCCTCACACCTCCTATAACCCACACTATGTGAGCAGCACACGCTCCTGCAGCTCCCCACACCTCCATAGCCCACACTACCTGAGCAGCACCCTCACTGCAGCTCCCCCACACCTCCTATAACACACACTGCCTGAAGCACGCTCACTGCAGCTCCTCACACCTCCTGGCACTACCTGAGCAGCACCCTCACTGCGGCTCTCCATCCTATAGCCCACACTACCTAGGCCTTTGCTCACTGCAGCTCCCTCACACCTCCCTGCTAACCCCACACTACCTGAGCCTCGCAAACCCTCACACCTCCTACAACCCACACTACCTGTGAGCAGCACACGCTCCTGCAGCTCCCTCACACCTCCTACCAGCACACTGTGGCAGGCAGCACTCACTGCAGCTCCCCACACCTCCTATAACCCACACTACCTGAGCAGCACGCTCACTGCAGCTTCCTACACCTCCTATAACCCACACTATGTGAGCAGCACGCTCACTGCAGCTCCTCACACCTCCTATAACCCACACTATGTGAGCAGCACTCACTGCAGCTCCCCACACCTCCTATAACCCACACTACCTGAGCAGCACGCTCACTGCAGCTCCTCACACCTCCTATAACCCACACTATGTGAGCAGCACATTCACTGCAGCTCCCCACACCTCCTATAACCCACACTACCTGAGCAGCACGCTCACTGCAGCTTC